GCTCTCCGTACCGGGATAAGATCACCATCGCCATCCTGCAGCTCCAGGAAGAAGGGAAGCTGCACATGATGAAGGAGAAGTGGTGGCGAGGAAACGGCTGTCCTGAAGAGGAGAATAAAGAGGCCAGTGCTCTCGGCGTCCAGAACATCGGCGGCATTTTCATCGTTCTGGCAGCCGGACTCGTCCTGTCTGTGTTTGTGGCGGTCGGAGAGTTTCTCTATAAGTCCAAACAAAACGCACAGCTGGAAAAGGTAAATCAATGCTCTCACACTGCTGGACTGCAGCACTCTCAGAAGTGAGGATGCTTTGATTCTGGTCAAATATGGGCAGACACAGATGTTGGGTTAAGAATGTGTTGGAGAGTTTCATCAAATAGTTGCACTCTAAAAGTGCTGGGTTGTTTTAAGCCAATGTTTTGGTCGAATATGGGCAGACACGAATGTTGGGTTAGAAAAACAAATACTGAAAGATTTCACCCAACAGTTGCATTTGAAAAAAAATCTGGGTTGCTTAAAAATGAAAATAAACAAATAAATAAAGATTATAGGGGGGAAAAGATGTAATAAAGATGTAATAAACTATTAAATTATTATTATTATATGTAATCGGTTTTGGTATTTTTTATTCATGCTAAAAACGAAAATGGATGCACTTGGCTAAAAACCCCAAAAATTATTTATAATAATTATTTATTCATTTATTAACTAGCGTAATGGCTGCACGCTAGCACAGTAGGTAGCACTTTCGCCTCACAGCAAGAAGGTCGCTGGTCAGTTGGCGTTTCTGTGTGGAGTTTGCATGTTCTCCCCGTGTTGTCGTGGGTTTCCTCAATGTGCTCCGGTTTCCCCCACAAGTCCAATATCATGTGGTATTGGGTGAATTAAACTAGCTGTAGTGTATGTGTGTGAATGAGTGTGTATGGATGTTTCCCAGTGATGGGTTGCAGCTTGAAGGGCATCCGCTGCGTAAAACACTTGCGGTTCATTACGCTGTGGCAACCCCTGATTAACAAAGAGACGAAGCTGAAAAGAAAATGAACTATTGAATTAATAACATAATTTTTTTAAACTTAAAAAAATATATAATATTTTAATATATATATATATATATATATATATATGTATATAT